CAGGAGAGCTTGGGTGATGGGGAGGGGGGCAATATACAGGGAGGGAGAGGGAAGTGGAGAAAAGGGGCAGATGGGAGAACAATAGGGCATGTTTAGGCGGACCAATTGGGACAGAGATAAAGGAAGATGTGGGCACAGCCTTGGAGCTCCAGGGCTCTGAGATAGAGGGATTGACCCATGATTGGAATGGGCGGGGAATCGTATTAAGATGCTTGACTGTTTTTTTTTAATCTTGGTTTCCCTTGCATTATAATATAGAGTAGACACTGGAGGGGGAGAGAAAGGAATAGTAAGAAACATCACACTAGAAGGCTTGTAAGTCCATTTTCTGCCTTTAACTGATTGGAATAACCTAAAACAGGGCTACAGCGTACCCGGTGAACGGCTTTCTGCGGAGCCTTTGCAATACATAAAACTATAGGTAGAAACCAGAACCACATCCAGATCACCAGAGATGAGAAATCCCCACTTGAAGGGACGAGCTGACGAGCCTGGAACGGTGAGAAGAACAAAAGATACGTCTGGAAGGGAAGACCTACAGGAAAAATACAACACAATGGAAACAGATGGACTGCTACTATGGGAACAAACGGGTCGCTCCCCTAGGAGACATTGGGGCAGTCGGTCGGGTCCCACCAACGTAGCCCCCCTCTCCCCCCCCCAAACTGAGACTCAGTGGAAATGCACGCTCGGATTGGTAAACACACGCATTACCGTTGGGGAGAAATGGGGTAATGGCAGCAATGAAGCGGCGAGCTAAGCCTCACAATATTCAGAGGGCTTCTGTGGACCCGGTTGGGGACCTGGTTGGCAAGCAGTGTGAGAAGACCCGAGGACTCCGGGGCCCAGAGTCAGTGACGTTGCCATGGAGGACTCAAGTACAGAATGGAGCTGCCAGCTGATGGGAAGAGAGGGCATGTGCACAAGAACACCCACACTTGCAGATGACACCCACGTAACCAGGACTGGATGACTGGATGATCGGAGCTCAACCAGAGTAGAAAGAAGGGGGGTGGGGGGGAAGAAATTGAGCTGATCCAAGCTGATGAACTTGACCTATG